GGATTCTTCTACTGGAATTTTACCGGTGATATGAAGAACACTAGTGAAAAATATATTTCATGCCCACTACATATCGCGAATATCGCGTTTTTCACGGAGAATGACGTTCTCCACGAAGAACGGGCGAAACTCCACTGCTTTCACCATTTACTATGATCAGTAGTCCTAACCTGTCTTCAGACCTCGTTCTCGAACTGCATTCATCGGAAAGAGTTGATATATATCGCAACTCGATATTTTCAAGTCCGGTTCCCAGTTTCACAACTGTTAATGATTTACCTATTCGAATAACACTTCACTGGATATAATAGCAGGGAATGTCGTAAACTGCAGCTTGATGATACTTATCCGATGTGGAAAATATTCACCGTAAGCTCAGCTAAGGGATTCCTTCACCCGAGAGAGACACATTGTGTGCTACGGGAGATTGGGACAGCGATCGATGATGATGCACCAGCATCTCCCAGAACAATTCATAATTGGAACACCGATCCAATACTTGTCTACTGAAGTAAGACCGACCCAGGCACAAATTCACGACGCGAATTCGAAACTCAACAGTTGGGCGTAAAGAATCATCTTTATCAAATCCTCAGTGTCATGATGATCAGGTCTGATGATCAGACCTTCACATTTACAATGGATGAATCGAATAAATTGATAATCTATCCAGCAAAAGAGAGACCATCGAGCTAGACGAGAGTTCACTGAACAAGTTATCAATGACTCGGTGTCATTGACTCCATCATCATGAGACGGAGTCAGAGTAAAAACTTAAACCTTCTTCCTTCCAAGTATCTTATTGACAGCCGCCGCAGCATTCACGCGGCCGAAGGTAAGGGTCTCTACCCCTTTACTGTCCTTGACACCTTGGGTGGCCGTATCCTTGATGATACTTTTGATGTAAGCAGGGGTCAGCTTAGCCTTCAGAGAAGGTTCAAGGCTGTAGAGCATCCCAGCTATACCTGCTACAATAGCGGCGGCACCCGAAGTGCCCTCACCTGTGGCATACTTCCCTTTGAGATCAGTTGTAACTATTTCGTTACCTGGAGCGGCAATGTCAACAGCTGAACCGAAATTGCTTCCATCCGTAAGCTGCATGTTGGGACCATACGTTGCAGCCACACATAACACTCCATCAGCGGGTGAACGGCCGAAGGAACAAGGGAAGTATGGATTTATGTCCAAATCGTGGTGCTTATTCCCTGCCGCGACGACAACGAGCATGCCAGCTGCAGCCGCT